CAAAAAAGCCAGAGCCGGCCCTGACTAGAGATCATGAACCATCTCATGGTGGTTATTTTGGCAAGACCAGGTTATTAACCCTGATGTCCTGGCCAATTTCCAGTTTAAATAATGGCGTATTTCCTATCTGAACTCCCTCTGTGGTTTTCATTGGATGCAGCACTGTGGTGTAGCTCTGTGGTCATACTGTGCTTGTAAGAAAGGACTGCCTAACGGAGCCCTCAGTCAAGAGCGTAATTTCCTGTAGCCCAGAAAGGTCTGCCGAAGGTCTCTGATCACCTCACAGAGCAGACCTGCGTACTTTGCTGTAATATCAAACAAAACATCCTGTTGTGCAACACCAACAGACCCCGGTTGTCAGGCTCAAACCTGGGACCTCTGGAGCGAAATGCACGAGCCTCTCCTGCATGAGCTGAAAGCCACATGGCCCTTAGCTAAGGCTGTAGACCAGACTCATTAATCTCTCTTGAAGTGGTCTCTCAGTGCCGCTAGATGGGACAGATACACACCCAGGAGGTGCGTGGGTTACAGTTACACTTTGCGAAATGGGGTGAGCTTGACTGCTGTACGTAGCCGGCTGCAGCACAGCTGTGCAGGCGTTAAATGCTTGTCATGTTCCACCCCAGAAATGGCTGAAGTTGTGAGCGAAGTGCTGTTTGTAAAGGGGCTTTGGGGAACGTGCTAAATTGGGTTAGAGCAAATGAAACACCTGCCGCTGCACTGGTTAGCTGGGTGTCGCCCACCCTGCCTGCTGTTGGGAAGCTGGGACCTGTTGGAAGCAATTTCCTCTGCTGGTAAGGCTGTTGTGATCGTTTGGATTGAACTTGCTGAAGAAGGAGGAAGGGGTCACTGGTTTGGCAGATCTTCTAATTACACTGGGCTGGTTACTGGCCTATTGCAAATGCGCCACTCTGTGGAATTTACTGCTCTGGAGGTATTTTAGCACTGAAAAAAAAATCAATGTCATTATCCCTTCTTTTTGTTGTTGTTTTATTTCTATTGCCATAGCATCCAGCAGCCCCAGCCAAGACCAGACCCGCACTGTGCTGGGTGCTGTTCACCCCCACAACAAAAAGCAGGTCCCTGCCCCAGGGAGCTTACAGTCTGAGGATTCGGCAAGAGGCAGCAGATGGCTAAGAACAGACAGATGGGGAAGTGCAAGGAACCAGTGAGGCGATATTGGCCAGCACGACAGGCCGTGGGGTTTTTGGACAAACGGATGCATTTAAATACAACGCAGGGCTCCAGGCCTGCACAGAGGAGACTGACTGCACCAAATGGACAAAAGCACCAGGCGTGACTGACACACAACGTTTGCATATAACTGTATTTACTGCCCATCTGCACCACACATCAGTAACTCTTAAACAGAGCCCTGAGTAAGCAGAACCCCCCCCTTTCTAGTACAGGAATAGCCATTGTGGGGTTCTAACTAGGGCTCGGTGACGCTGTACTGGCTTCTGGCAGGTGGGCTTGGGCCACTAGCTAGTGCTGTAGGGGCCCGGTTCACTTTTCAAACATTGCTCGTCAATATGTGCATGAACGTTCCAATGGAGAACTGCGTGCCCAGGTGGGTAACTAACAGGTCAATGTAACTGGGTGACAAAGCAGACGAGATCAGCTCGGTTAACTCTAAAGAGGAGGACCAGTCCAAGGTTAATCTCCACCCTTGCAAACCACACTGAGGTCTAGATTCTCTCGACTGGACCCTCTTTAGGGCCGAGGTTGTCTTCCTCCGTGTACGTAAAGTGCACTGCACACTGTTGGTGCTTGGAGTGTAATAAATCAATGGATCTGAGTCAGTGAGTTCACACTGGGAATAAGTAAGGGCTGAATTTGTTCCAAAGTGGCTGTGTTAATTTTAACACACCCATTTCTTAGGTTTGCTTTAAGCAAGTTGAAGAGTGTGTGTGTGCATGTGCGTGTGTGTGCGCGCGTGCATGCGTTTGGTCTGACCTTCTCCTTTTCACCAGGCTCGTTCCCGTGAACTTTTGAAATCATCGCCCGCCAGTTGCTGGATCATGTAGTCTCCTCCTAATGGACAGGCGTCAGTTCTGCAACACTGACATAGAAAAGCAGCAATTGCTTATGGAGTGGGAATAATAATAATCATAGACGTGTTGATGTTGAGCAGGGCAAGCTACTCCTCTGTCACGTTTCTAAACACTAAAAAAACCCAGCAAAGCACAAGCAGCGGGGACGCCACAGAAACAACCTCTGGAGTTGCGACTGGTGACGAACCTTCCCTGCAGAGAGAAGCAATTTGTACAAAGGACAAATACAAAATAAAGAACAAGTTTCCCACTGGGGCAACGGCAAGTGCCAGCGATGATGAGATGAATTTGTAAACACAGAGCAAGGAGATTGATCAGAAGGAAAAGAAAGTAGCGAAGCTGCTACACTGGGTCCCCAGTGGTCTCGTCCCATTTCTGGGGTTTCTTATATTCCTGCCTCCCTGTTTGATCCTCACTTAGAACTGAAATCGCTTGTTTCTGCTCCCAGCAATGTCATTGCAATTTGCAGCATGGAACAGTGCTGTAACCCTGCGTGTACCTAATTGTGTGACGGTTTTGTCCTGCTAGAGATGTGCAGGGGTAGGATTATTTTCTTGCCTTTGGGCAGGAAGCCATTAGAAATTAGAGGTACAGGTTTAGCTGAGATGCCCTTAGTGAAATATTAAATAGACCCCCCACCCCACACACACACACACAAAACGTTACAGTGCCCAGATAGAGGGAAGAGGAGAGAAAAATGCACTAAAAGGAAAGTAAATTCCAAACTGCAACAGTGGTGTTCATACGTTTGTGGCTAAAACGAGGCACTGAAGTCAGGGTTTGAGCACCGAACTAGAGAGATTCAGAGGTGAGGAGCACCTGTGACTCCCAGTGAAGTTGATAGCAGCGTTGCCTGAGTCAGGCTTGACCCCCGGTAAGGAACGGATTTTAAGCATGTTGGAGGATTCTGCCTGGCCGCCAGCAATGCCGTGTCTACCACGGCACGCAATGCACTTTCTCAAGCCACGACTGGTTTAGTTACCAGCTAGCTGAGGACCTGCTCCCATGCAGTCAATGCTACCCCTCTCACGAATGCCACTGCCAACAGGGTCAAGTCTTTAGAGACAGTTTCTCCCCACTGCCCTGTTGCTGCCGTTCAGACCACTTGGGGAGCTTTTTGCCAGCAGGCTCTGGGGCGAAACTTTTGGCCGCATGTTTTCGGTGGAGGGGCCCTGCCTGCGGAACTCCCTGCCCCTCTCTGGTCCATCAGACCTTGGGTTTGGCTACCGCCAGGGCACAGAACTAGGTCTATTTACTTAGCCACGTTGATGCCTGATCGATCTGGCTGTGGGAAAGGGGAGAGCTTTCTCTCCCCTCCTGCTCCAGACTATTGAGTGGGTAAGTCTCTGCTATGCTTCCCCGCCCCCACCTGTTGTGTGTGTGTGGGGGGGTGTCTTTCTCCCACCCAGAGACTAACTCCTGGAACAGAACCTACTCTCCACGGGCGAGTGGGCTTCTCAAGCCCTGGTGGTGGTGACTCCTGCTTATGCAGGAATCTGCTCTCACTTGCTGCAGCCCCTCAATGAGCAGTGTCCAGAAACACGATATTCCTTCTGCATGGCAGTGGTGAGGCTACACCTAGCACATTGCAGAAAGTTCTAGACTTCTCCAGTAACTGCATCCCAAAGGGGGGGGCGAGTTACGTCATTGACAGCTGGAGCATATTCACCTGCTGGAGGGAATGAGGAGACGAGCCCCTGATCGGTTCAGGGTTGGAGGAACTGGCTTATGCAGACAGACCGGTATTTGCAGAAAGCTTTGCATTTCCAAAATTCGTTACACAAGTGACTAACGAACCCTCGCTCACCATTAACTAAACCTTCTTTGTGAGTTAGGTAAATAGTAATTGTCTCCACTTTAAGGAAACTGAAACTGAGCTAGGGAGAGGTGAAGTTCTGGTCACCCAGTCTCAAAGAGAATGTAGCAGAAATATAAGGGGACAGAGAAGAGCTAGAAAAAGATTAGAGGCCTGGGAAGATTTCTATGTGAGGAGAAATTTTAGAGAGATTTGGACTGTTTAGATTAGAGGGGTAACAAATAAGAGATGATAGATGTAAATGGAATAATGAATTGTAAAAAGAAGGCAAATGCAGGTGCTTAATTTACCCTCTCATAATATGAGGACAAGGAAACATCCACTGAAACTGTAAGGCAATAATCTTAAAAATGATAAAAGCAGATATTTGTTACTTAAAAAAAATCTTACCTGTGGAACTCATTGCCACTAGATACATTGAAGCCAAGAGCTAAGTAGGGTTCAGAAAAAGGATTAAACATTCGTGTGGTTAATGAGAATTAGGGATGTTGATTAATCGCAGTTAACTCACGCGATTAACTCAAAAATAATAATAGTGATTTAAAAAATTAATCGCGATTAATCACCCAGATACACAATAGAATACCAATTGAAATTTATTACATATTTTTGGGTGTTTTTCTACATTTTCAAATATATCGATTTCATTTACAACACAGAATACAAAGTGTACAGTGCTCACTTTATTTTTTTTATTACAAATATTTGCACTGGAAAAATGATAAAAGAAATAGTAAAAAAAAACGAGGAGTCCTTGTGGCACCTTATTTTTCAATTCACCTCATACAAGTATTTTTCAATCCACCTTATACAACCTCTTTATCATGAAAGTGCAACTTACAAATGTAGTTTTTTTGTTACATAACTGCACTCAAAATCAAAACAATGTAAAACTTTAGAATCTACAATTCCACTCAGTCCTGCTTCTTGTTCAGCCAATTGCTAAGAGAAACAAGTTTGTTTACGTTTCCGGGAGATAATGCTGCCCGCTGCTTAATTACAATGTCACCTGAAAGTGAGAACAGGCGTTCGCATGTCACTGTTGTAGCTGGCGTTGCAAAATATTTACATGCCAGATGCACTAAAGATTCATATGCCTCTTCATGCTTTGTTCGGCCATCGTTCCAGAGGACATGCTTCCATGCTGAATATGCTCGTTAAAAAAATAATGCTTTAATTAAATTTGTCACTGAACTCCTTGGGGGAGAATTGTATGTCTCCTGCTCTGTTTTACCCTCATTCTGACATATATTTCATGTTATAGCAGTCTTGGATGATGACCAGAACATGTTGTTTGTTTTAAGAACACTTTTACTGCAAATTTGAAAAAGGCAAAGAAGGTACCAATGTGAAATTTCTAAAGACAGCTACAGCACAAGTCCCAAAATTTAAGAATCTGAAGTGTCTTCCAAAATCTGAGAGGGACGAGATGTGGAGCATGCTTTCAGAAGTCTTAAAAGAGCAACACTCTGATGCGGAAACTACAGAACCCGAATGACCAAAAAAGAAAATCAACCTTCTGCTCTGATAATGAAAATGAACATGCGTTGGTAAGGGATATATGAATTTTTAGTGAATCTGGCATGTAAATATCTTGACACACCGGCTATAACAGTGCCATGCAAATGCCTATTCTCACTTTCAGGTGACATTGTAAACAAGAAGCAGGCAGCATTGTCTTTTGCAAATGTAAACAAACTTGTTTGTCTGAGCGATTGGCTGAACAAGAAGTAGGACTGAGTGGACTTGTAGGCTCTAAAGTTTTATATTGTTTTATTTTTGAATGTAGATTTTTTTTGTACATAATTCTACTTTTTAAGTTCAACTTTCATGATAGATTGCACTACAGTACTTGTATGAGGTGAACTGAAAAATACTATCCCTTGTTTTTTACAGTGCAAATATTTGTAATCAAAAATAAAGTGGGCTCTGTACACTCTGTCTTCTGTGTTGTAATTGAAATCAATATATTTTAAAAATGTAGAAAACATCCAAAAATATTTAAATAAATGGTAGTCTATTATTGTTTACCAGTGCGATTAATCGTGTGATTAATCATGATTAATTTTTTTAATTGTGCGATTAATTGCGATAAAAATTTTGATCGCTTGACAGCCCTAATGAGACTGTACACTGTAACAATGGTTAAGGCTAAGAAAAATTGGAGGTGATAAACCCTCATGCTTCCTGGCATAAACTAACCTGGCATAAGCTATTAAGAAGAAAATTCCCTGATGTGGAGATTATTCCATAACTGTTGACTGTGGGATTTCTTACACCTTCCTCAGAAGCATTTGAGAACTGGCTAATACCAGAGGCAAGATAGCAGACTAGATGGACCCCCCGTCTGATCCAATCTTACAGCTCCTCTGGCTATAAGGGAGCTAGAATAACCATTCCTGTATTGGAAGGATGTAAACTTCCAGGAGGGAGAGGTCATCTTTTGATTTGTCCACTTACGAGTGATGGAATGAATCAAGAGGGTGAGGGAGAGTGGGTTGGATGGCAGGAAAACTACCCAACCCCCACGAGAGCTGCAGGCAGTGGAATTGTCTCCCAAGGGGACGGTGAAAGCACCATTGCTTGAGAGGTTCAAAACAGGACTGGCCCAAGCCCTGAAGAATATCCTGCCAGCTGCCATCCTGTGCTGGCAAGGAGCTCGACAAGGAGATAGAAACAGCAAACCTAGTCAGTTTAACGTCCCTCCTGCTGGCATACGGAGCGACACATTTGCCTTGTTTCTATTTCCAGACAACATTCTTGTTCCGTTTAAATGTCCGTGGCTGACCCTGCAGCCTGTAGGCCAAATCTTGATTCCCTCCCTTGCCAAACAGTTGCTCCAGTATCTGATGTGACACATTTTAGTTTTCTCCATCCTCTCTAAAAGGCAACCCGATTCCTAGCCATGCAGTAGCTGAGGAATGTAGTCCCATTCATTTCCTCTGGGCTACTTTCCAC